AGTTTATATCCGGTTTTTATACATTGTGTTCTTTATATTTCTCGTATTTTATAACATAATAATAATAATAATAATAATAATAATAATAATAATAATAATAATAATAACAACAACAACAACGAACAATCATGAAAAACATTAATTAACATGATCTTCATGGCGTCGATTTCCTTATCGTGAAAAGATGCGACAATGCAGTCATGGCGTGGGCCTGCCTTGACATGATCCCGGCTGTCGAGGGACTTTGAGACAAGACAATCTCGTACCCATCATAGTATTCTTCCATGCCTTCTCCCATCAGCTGCCACACCAGGCTTCCGCTCATTGTACCTCTCGTCCTCGCGTATCGATAAATATCTCTATACACGTTGCCCATATACAAGTCTCTCTCGTTTGGATCGAACACCGGATCTTTGCATGACTTTCCGAATTCCGCAATCACTAGTGGCTTTTTTAGTACTGTCTTCGCGTCTTCCCAATGGCTCGTCATCCATCTCTCCATGAATCCCATTTGCTCGTTCTCGCTTTTCCCAGACAACCTGTCTGACACGATTAGTTCAATAATTGAAAATCGAAATTTTGGCTACCAAAAGCTAATAGGCATAATAACTAACTCTCTCAACCACCAATCATTCACACGCTACTTTATAATAGTTTAATTTTCCTTGTTTAGTAACTTTTAAATACTTGTTGCAATTTCATAAACGAACCAAGCATCAGGGTACGCGTGTATTGTCGCGAAATCGATCCCTTTGACTAGATTGTTGCTGATGAAATCGGTACCGACTTGATAACCGGGATTGACTTGTTTCCTTTGTGGCATCGTGTCACCGTAAAATCCTTCCATCCCGATTTCGAGCAAGTGCTTTCGATCCAGGGACTTGACGAAACTCGCCATTTCTTGAACCCAACCCTGAATACCCGATCGATCGACAAATTAAATAAACGCTAATTAATGAAGAAAAGGTGAAAACACAATTAATTAATTATATTCAATCAAATATTTGAACCGATTAATTAATTACTTACGTTAAGAGTGCTTCCAGAGTAATCAGTCTCACATCGGGGCTCGTTAATAAGCTCCCAAGCCATGATTGTGGGGTCATCCTTGTATGCAATCTTAGTAATGGTGTTCAATCTCGTAACCACTCTCTGCAAAAATATATAATTTCATTGAGGTAATTAATTAAGTTTTCGTGCATCAATTACATTATGATAGTGAAATAGTGAATAAGTGATTAATCACTAATTACCCTGATATGGTTCTTGTAATAACCCTTGATCACAGGGTGTGTGTAGAAATCGTCGTCACTGTTAATATGTGCTCCGGCCGCTCGGGCCCACTGCGCGTACTGTGGCCTTCCCCCGAAATCTTTGTAATTGTTTACAAAGCTCAGTATCAGGCGTATACCGTACTTTCTAGCTTCGGCAACCACAAAATCGAGTCCCTGATTATTTAATTTCAAGTAAATTTTAAGACGCTTGTTTACCAAAAGAAAAAATAAAATAAAGTTAAGGACAAAATGATGGAACCTGAAACACACGCTCGTCGTATATCCCGGGCGATAATTGTAGGGCCCGATCCCCGCCATCACTGAAGGCCCAAGTCCGGCAAACGGTGAGCCCGGCTGCAGAGGCCTCGCGTAGAACTTCCGTCACTTTGTACCTCTCGTTAGGGTCGGATGCAACGTGCATCATCCAGTAAGAGTTGAAGCCGCTGAAAAGGAAAGACGAGCCGTGGAGCACAAAATGGGATCCTTGTGTCTTGACGAAGGCGAGGTCCCGTGGGAGTCTGGCTCCGAACGAGCCGTTATTGAGAATTAGGAGAATTAGGAGAAGTAGGAAAGAACAAGTGTTGGTGATCATAACTGAAGCCATATTATGTTAGTGTAAATTGCTTTAATAATTAAGGAGGAGATTATTAATTTGGTGCATGTACTTTGAAGGTGCTTTGCATGGCTATTTATAGAAAGTGAGAATGGGGAAATTGGAATGGTGTAGGGGGGTGTTTTAGTCTTTGGATGTATTTGATTTCTCTTTTATTATTATTATTATTATTATTATTATTATTATTATTATTATTATTATTATTATTATTATTATTATTATTATTATTATTAGTTTTGTTGCTTATAGATGTGGCAAAGGTTTATGGTAAGGGTACAGGGAAATTAAAAGAAAAAGTGTCAAGGTTTTTGATAGAAAACGAGGAGAAGGAGAGGAAAAGGGGGATGGAATTCAGTTATAGTTAGTTGGGTGAAGGAAGTTAAAGAAATCATGATGACGAGGAAAACCGGGAAAATTTCTAAATATAGAGTGCACGTAATTTGTTGCATGTGGTTAGTTTTGTGATTGTAAGGACGTTACATTTAGCAATAGCTTAATTAGTGGTCTCGTGTTCGAGCCCTGGGAATGCAGCAGTGTTAAAAATTCTTGAGGGAGAGAGCTTTGCCGCCCTTGTGGTCCTACCCGGCTCGATTACGGATTAGTCGGTTCCCCTGTGGATCCAGAAACCGGAAGGTGCCAGTACCAAAAAAAAAAATATATATATATATATATGAGACTTGAAATTTAAGCAATTAATTAATTTGCTGAAACTGAATTCTCACCATTTCGCGCTAGTTGCCCTACTAGTTTTGGACCAACACCATGCATATATTATGCATGCATGCATGTGCGTTACTAAAAATTGAAATAAGTTTATTATTATAAGTTCCCTAAATTGAAACGTCGATCTAAATATATTCAAAAATACTCCATAAATAGAAAGAAAAATATATATATATATATAAAAAAAAAAAATGATTTTTATTGGTCTTCACCTTGCTTAATCAGCTATATGTTGGTTGAAGTGAATTAATATTGTCGAGCAACTATATTATACATTCTCCATTTTTATGCACAAGTCTATCTTTTCTTCAGGCACATTTTATGAACTTCTGTTAGATCCATAGATTTCTCATCTATACCTGCTGCAGCTTCCCATCATTTCCCTTAGAAAAATCGATCATTAAACGATCCACGACTAATTCATTTATTCACGCTTATTTGATTATTACTCGACAATGCCACATGCAGAATGTAATTCTCATTTCCATATATATATATGACATGAAATTCTGCTATAATTGCTTCCATGTTTTCAGTAAAAGTATTAATTAATTTCCTTAAACCTTACAAAACACACGCGCGCTCGAACCTATAAATAGCTACCCGAACTTCCTCCAATTTCCTCAAACCAACAATCAAACATAATTCAAGCTAGCAACATTTATCAATTGTGCTATGGCTTCCTTCAAAAGAATGAGTTTGCTCTGTTTCCTCTGTTTGCTCTGTCTCGTGTTTGAGCCGAGAATGAGTTCGGCCAATCCAGGATTTGTTCAGACGAGGGGTACACAATTTGTTTTGGACGATTCCTCTTTTATGTTCAACGGGTTCAACGCTTATTGGATGATGCACATTGCATCACAGCCGAACCAAAGAGACAAAGTGTCTAATGTATTTCGAGAGGCTGCAGCTGCCGGTTTAACTGTGTGCCGAACATGGGCGTTTAGTGATGGAGGAGACGAAGCTCTTCAGATATCACCTGGTGTCTATAATGAATATGTGTTTCAGGTATAATATACATACAAAATCGATCTTTGTAATCCAAAGTTGCAATTTAGCCTCGTCACTCGAAACCATCTTATAATTGGCTACTTCTTGCAGGCACTTGATTTTGTGGTCTCGGAAGCTGCTAAGAACAAAATTCGTTTGATTTTAAGTTTGAGCAACAATTACCAAGATTTTGGAGGGAGGTCTCAATACGTGAGTTGGGCGAAAAGTGCTGGAGCCCAAACGAGCAGTGATGACGATTTCTATACCAACGAGGTTGTGAAGGACTACTACAAAAAACATGTTCAGGTAACTTATATATAGATCAAGTCAAATAATGTCGCGATAAGTTCTTCCAAAGTCTTCTAATGAAGGTATTTGATCTTACCTTGAACAGAGAATACTTAACAGAATCAACACGATTACGGGAGTTGCGTATAAAGATGATCCCACCATCATGGCTTGGGAACTCATAAACGAGCCTCGTTGCCAGGCTGACTACTCAGGGGACACTGTGAATGTGAGCCAAGAAAAAGAATGCGATTTGATTTAGTTTTCATGATTAATTGTCATATCTCCTTTTCCCTTTTAAAATGTTGTACTTTAAACTTTATATGACAGGCTTGGGTACAAGAAATGGCCTCACACGTCAAATCCATCGACAGTAAACACCTTCTAGAAGTAGGCATGGAAGGTTTTTACGGAGACTCTTTTCCGGACAGAAAGCAGTACAATCCAGGCTATCAAGTCGGCACAGATTTTATCACTACCAATCTAATAGAAGAGATTGATTTCACAACAATCCATGCATACCCTGATGCATGGTAAATGTACTTCATTTATTGTATTAAATATATATTGTGAAAAGTATACTATGACTAATTTCAATACCACAGGTTACCGTTAGAAGACGATGATGCACAGATGGTATTCATGAGACGGTGGATGACGAGCCACTGGCGAGACTCAAAGACCCTTTTAAAGAAACCGATGGTTTTCACCGAATTTGGAAAGTCGAGCAAAGATAAAGGATTCAGCGTGGCATCAAGAGACTCGTACATGAACGCGGTTTATGGAAGCCTTTATAGTTTCGCTAGAGGTGGAGGGATAGGTGGAGGATTGGTTTGGCAGATTCTGGATGAGGGAATGGAATCGTATTCAGATGGGTACGAGATTGTCCTTTCCGAGAGTCCATCGACAAGCTCGATTATCAGCCAGCAATCGAGGCAGATGACTGCTCTGCAACACATGATGAGCAGGCCATGAATATCTGTTATGAAAATGAAATTATCGTTGTTCTTTATCAAAATATAGAGATGATAGCAATAAGAGAGAGAGAGAGAGAGAGAGAGAGAGAGAGAGAGAGAGAGAGAGAGAGAGAGAGAGAGAGAGAGAGATTGGTGAATGGTGAATGGTGAGAGAGTGTAGACGTGAGTAGTTGGAATGGGATGTGTTAGTGGGTGTGGGGCCGACTGATAATTTGGGTGGTTATGAAATGTCAAAATTGTAATGTAAAATTTTGATTTTTTTCTAGTCATTGGATCTTTATATTTTAAAGTTAAGATTTCTTCTCATTTATTTCATAAAGAAAACTGTGAAATATTAATTATATACTTATATCGTAATTTTTCAAAATAAATTATATATATATGTATACATATATATATATATATAAGGATTATTTTCAGTGTCCATATACAGGATAAATTGGAGATTTCGTCCTGTAAGTGGCACATATATGAGGTTTGGTCCTTTCCGATGCCCACTTTTGGATCACGTCCCGTAAGTGGCAAAAATCGTGAGAAATGGTCCTGTCACCGGCAATTTATGTTAAATATTTGAATTTTCATTTATATATATCTCAAGAAAGTTTTATTATATATTTAATTACTTTGGTTAATTAAACTTTTATTACAGCTAATGTTATTTTTTATTTAATCTACATTATTAAATTTTAATTATTTCTTTATATATTAAATAAATATTTAATAAATAATAAATACGTTAAATAATATAATAAATAAATATATTAAATAATATGATTTTATTTTAACATATTCAAATAGATAAATATATTCAAAAATTATATTTAATATTTAAATAAATAAATAAATTAAATAATAAAATTTAATATGTAAATATAAATATATATATAATAAATATATTAAATAGCGAAATATATATATATATTTATATATTAAAGGTTTATGGATATCAAATTAACAATTATTAAATAAATAATTTATTAAATTTTTACTAAATAAATATTTAGAAATAAAAGAAATATGTCAAATAATTTAATAAATATATATATATATATATATATATATATATTATATAATATACTAAATGAATATATTATAATATAATATATAAATAGATATTTACTTCATAAATATAAATTTTTACTAATCAATAGATATATTTAATAATAAAATAAATAAATATATTTAATCAATATGTTAAACAAAATGAAAATTAAATGAGGTAAATAAAAAAACAACATAAATGATAATAAAAGTTTTGTTACCCAAAATAGTATATTTAGTATTTATTTATTTTAGTTTCATTATTTAAATACAAAATTACAAATTAAAACTAAATAAAATTAATAAATAAAAATACCTTATTTTATTTATTGTTTTAATCACATGCTTTATTTAATGATAGTTTGTTGCAGTACTTATTATTTACTATATTTAGTATTTAATTTTACAATTAATTAATCAAATGAAAAAATATGACATTATTTAATATATTTCATTAAATATATAATAAATGAGAAAATAGTATTATAATATTCATATTTATTTATTAATATATATCTAATAAATTTTATAATATATTTATTATTTAATAAATATTTAATTAATATATAAAAAAAAATTCATAATATATATAAATTATTGCATAAATTATGTATAATTTTATAATTAAAAGCCGTATAAATTGAATAATATATATTTATATTTTAAGAAAAAATAATATTGTATTATTTAGTATA